ACCCTTGCTTTACCTTTGCCTCCTGATTGCATGTATCCTTGAAATAATCAGTAAAGGTGGATTCTAGGTAATATCTCTAACATATGAATCTGATTTGACAAAATGATTTTTGTATTAGCTTACAAATAAAAGATAAAACTCAAAAATAATTCTAATCTGCCCTTGTCAGTGTGACCCAGTGGTTAGAGTGTCAGCCTATCCACTGAAGGGTCATGGGTTCAATTCCAGTCATGGGCACATACCTAGATTTCAGGTTTCTCTCACATTGATGCTTCTCTTCCCCCCTGTCCCCCACCCTTGTCCTCCCTCTTCCTTCTTACACTCTCTCTAAAAATCAATGGAAAAAATATCCTCAGGAGAGGATTAACAACAACAAATTATAATCTTAGATGAAGAATACCTCTTAATACTATTATTTTAATAGAATAAATGAATTAAATGTTAATTTGACACAATTAAAATGGTATACTTGCAAGATAAATAAGGCATGTTTTACCATATGGCAAACTTTATTGTTTCTTTTTTAATCCTCACCTTGAGGATATGTTTTCTTATTGATTTTTAGAGGAGGATAGGACCTGCAACCTAGCTATGTGCCCTGACCAAGAATCAAACCTTTTGGTGTACAGGATGACACTCCAACCAACTAAGCTACCTGGCCAGGGCCATATGGCAAACTTCTTTTTAAGAATCCATATGAAAAAAAAAAACTAACAAAATCATAGCATGTAAAATTACAGAGAAAAAAACTCAATACATTTTTAAAACATATATAGAACCAGAAATATCACAAAATTCGAATTAATATATGACATATATGATAAACATACAATTCAAGGGCAAACAGGCTAATGATTTTGTTAGAAGGCCTTATCTGAAGAATGTTCACAACAGAACCCTTCTAAATATGTCCTTTGAAATAAGATTCTGCTCATTTTATAGTTGTGGTGAAATGAAATGCAAAAGATGTGATATGTTATTTTGTTTACGTATTATTTTATTTGACTTTGCATAATAGCGACAGATCATAATCTACAACTCTTTTCCCAGCTGTGATCCACCAATGACAACCACTTAGAAACAGGCCATGAAGAGCATAAGCAAAGGTGCTTTAAAGATGCGTTTAATAACAGAGATTTGAGCATGTAAACTTAGAAAAGAATGAAACAAAAGGAGTTTTAAAATAAAGAGTAGCAGGCAGAGCCAAGTCTTACAGAATAACATTCGAGTTCTCACTCTACAGGAATACTCAGTATAGGAAAAGTCATGGCCTCAGAGAGAAGGAAGTTAAACACACACAGAAACCAGCGTGAGGCAACTGGGCATATGCATGTAGTTCTGAGGAATTAAAGAATCTGAACACGTGTTGAACACCTCCTTTGGGTCTTTTTTTCTTAGAGGGCAGCTGTCATGGTTATTACATTATCTCATCTGGCCTTGAGGAAAGTAGAGTGTATTTCAGAAGTCCTGGTTTACTGAAGAAGCACAGTAAAACTGCCCAGGCCATTAGCTTTTAGTTAGGAAGCCCAACAACTACTTGACCTTGGGCAAGTTGCTTAAATTCTGTAGGCCTTGGTTTCCTATTCTGTAAGATAGTAAGAAAAATGACATCTATCTCATGAGATACTGAATATAAAACAGAGGACAAATAAGGCATCTTATACCTTATGGCAAATTTCTTTTTAAGCTTTCATACAAAAAAATTAACACAGTGTCATGCACATAGTAAGTAGTCACAGAAGAAGCTAGTTATATTACCTTTATTATTAAGGAAGGGATTTCTTGTATACTTATATTAATTTCATTGTCTGCCTTAATTTTACTATTTTTTTCTTCAGCTAAATAACTTTGGGATCTATAAAAGCTGATCAGCTACTTTAATTTCCAAGAAAAAGAAACTGTTTCAGAAGCCAGAATTTACACTAGTATCAGAGTTAAAAGTACGAATACTATTAGAAAAGGCAACAGAGTTGGTATTCATATATTATATCTACAAAATTGGAACCTATGATTTCATAGTATCATAAAGATCAGGCCCTCCACCCTAGCCGGTTTGGCTCAGTGGATAGAGTGTTGGCCTGAGGACCGAAGGGTCCCAGATTTGATTCCAATCAAGGGCACATGCCTGGGTTGCGGCCTCAGTTTGACGTGCAGGAGACAGCCAATCAATGATTCCCTCTTATCATTGATGTTTCTATTTCTCTTTTCCTCTCCCTTCCTCTCTGAAATCAATAAAAATACATTAAAAAAAAAAAAAAGATCAGGCCCCCCTTTTTTTCTCTTGGCCAGAAATAAACAAACTCCCATTTCTAAAAATATTTTAGGTTTTCTCCTTGAGGAAGTCATCTTGCAACAAAATACCCTATTATCATAGAAAGCAAGTATAGGACAGTATGTCATGAACAAGACTATAAAAATGTAGTGGTATATGAGCCAAGAAAAAATTCATCTGGAAAAATGAGTAAGTAGAGATTTTTCTTCAAATTTAATTGAGACTGTGAGTTTCCTGTTTTGTGACTATTTCTTTGATACTCCCATGTATATGATAAACTGTTCTTTAAGAAATTTCAAATGACCATTCACTTAAAAAATGCTCTATATATTTGTTTCTTTTAGAAAAGTAGACCATTAAAAGAATCATAAATGAGGAGTAAAATTAGACGTGTAAGAAAAGCAAACATAGTCTTACTCTTTTTTTTCTGTTTTTTATATTTAAATTTAATCCAACTTTTAAAAAGCATTACAAAAAAAAAAGTTTAATTCATAGCATCCAATTCAGACCATCCTAACCCACTGCCACGAATACAAGGGGACAAAATATGTATATACTATTAATTTTATGAATTCCAAGACTATACAGGCTATGCATTTTAGCTTTTTATGAGGCAACAATTCCACAGTGGTCTTATACAATCACATATACACACAAAACTATGAACGTGATACAGTAATGTTGCAAACCTAAGAACTTTCTCACTGAGTCTGATTTGCTATTCCTGATGAGGTTTAAGAATAAAAGAGCCGAAACCGGTTTGGCTCAGTGGATGGAGCGTCGGCCTGCGGACTGAGGGGTCCCGGGTTCGATTCCGGTCAAGGGCATGTGCCTGGGTTGCGGGCATATCCCCAGTGGGAGATGTGCAGGGGGCAGCTGATCGATGTTTCTCTCTCATCGATGTTTCTAGCTCTCTGTCCCTCTCCCTTCCTCTCTGTAAAAAATCAATAAAAATATAAAAAAAAAGAATAAAAGAAAACAAGTTGCACATATAGATAAATTAAGACAACTTGTTTTCTGATTAACTTTAAATTAAATTCATTATTGAGAGTTACAGAAGGGAAGTACTCTGAAAATTAATGAATATCTTTTGTTTTCAGAGTCTCACATACTACACATAGGCCTATTATATTATAATGTATCCTTTCCATGGAAAAATAAAATCAGCAATTATATAGTAGCTCAAAGCCTTTGAATAATTAAGGACTACAAAAATGACAATTCAGAAGAAATTACGGGAAAAAATATAGGTAAGGAATGTAATAATTCAGTAAGGACCTTGATTAAGAGAAACTGAAAGACACAATGGGATACACAATAACTTCTTATCTTAGAGTTATCCTCAAAACAAGAGTATCCAAACATTTTATCTCTCATTTGAATTTCATGAGAAATAAAAGGTATATGAAAAAGCCTAAATGATGTATCATTCAAAATGACACAAATGACAATTAGGAGGCAAACATAGAGTATGTTGACTGAATAACTGGGGGGAAAAAGAGGGATTAAAACATTAGAGAGGATAAATCAAATGTATTTCATAAATTTTGTAGTCCTGTGATTAAAAATAATGCCACACACACACAAAAATGAAAAAATAAAAACACCTCACCCCGAAAAGAAATGATGTCCTATATCTGTTTCTACTCAGATTAACTGTGAAAAATAACTGACCTATAAAATACTTTACTATCCCTTCAAAAGGAAAAAAAAAGTGGTGAGAAACTTTGATAATTTAACGCAATTAAAACAGTTTTAGAGAGTTCAATCATTCTTTTATCTATCTCAAAACTTGGAAGTGCCCAGCCAGTGTTGCGCAGTGGTTGCACATCAATCTATGAACCAGGAGGTCACAGCTTAATCCCCAATGGGGGTGTGCAGGAGGCAGCCGATGAATGATTTTCTCTCATCATTGATGTTTCTCTCTCTCTCTCTCTCTCTCTCTCTCTCTCTCTCTCCTTTCCTCTCGAAATCAGTAAAATTAAAAAAAAAACAAAAAACAAAAAAAAAACTCTTGGAAGTTATACCAAAATGTAATAGTCAAACATACATACAAAATGACCCTACAATTAAGATAATTGCTAGTACCAAATGTTGTTTTTAAGTTCTGCAATAAAAAAGTCTCCCAGACATTTAATAGTATGTCATTTGGTAAATGAAAGTTTCCACAAAGTAAGAGCAGTGAGAAGACCTAAAAATTATGCTAGTGAAGAGTCTGGCTGAAAGAAACAAAAATATGGATCATTTTGGTCCAATACTAATTTTATTTCGAGTTACTACAGAGCTGAATAAAATGCTGACACCATCACACAAAAATTTATTGAGTTGGCAATAGGCAAAGCATGATGTCAGCCACCAATATCCCCATCCACATTACCAAATAGCATGAACACTTCAATTCTTGAACTTAACTTAGACTACATGCCTAAAGTTACAGTAAAAATAAAAACCTTAGGCATGAGGCATTATTAAACACAGATGAGTTTATTTTGGCAGTATTTTGACGCAAATTAGTCAAGTACTTTAACAAATTCAGTGAAAAAGATAATGCAAGCTTCAACATATTACAATTTTCTAAATGTGCTACATTCTTCACCAAACAGACCCATAAAATAAGTCTTGGTCAACCTACAATAATATTCAAATAAGTAACCCAACACACACGCAAAATGCACACTGAGAGGAGAGACAGAAACACACGCATACACACAGCTGCACAAGTCCTTACCTTCATGGCATGAATTTCTTCAAGCAATCGTTGTGCCCGCCTTTGGTTTTTTAACAGCGCATCTTCAGTACCCCTGCAAAAAATACATTCCAATATGTACACAGGAAAAGCATTTATTACAGACTCATATCATAATGAAAAGTCTCATTTCTTTTAGAAAAATATCATAAATCTCTAAATAACAAGCAAAGTCATCCTGCACTGCTTTCTCCCCTTCCAACATATATCCCAATTCTATTAATAAACTCAAGTTCTTGGCAATACCAGGCATTATCCTGGCATAATATTAAAAATTATTGCTGCTGTTTGCCTTCTAATTCCTTAATGGGAAGGCCAAATAATACTTTTTAATTAATCAGTTAACAGCACATTGTATTTAATATAAGGTCCATAAGCTACAGCTAAAGGTTAGATATAATTTTATTAAATAAAAATTTGTCCTCTGGAATTAAAAGAATATACAAGATGTCAAATATCTGATTATATCAGAGAGAAAACCCATCTTCTGCAACATTTATGAAAGAAAGCACTAAAAATTAATCAGGAGCAAAACACATTTGAAGACTTTAAATAACATACTTTTTCTCTAATACCAGTAACACTGAAAATACAAAATACTATTTTTTCAAAAAATTAGATGGAACACAATGTCTTGATAAACACTTCCACAAGGTACTGAAGATTTTAAATTAATTAGCAATTCAAGAAAAAAAGTGATATAAATTTTTACAACTGATTCACAAAAGGTATTACTAGATTTGCTCAACTATACCACATCTTAAGATAACTTCTAACAACATAAAACACATACATAACCCCAAAGGACTTTCATTTTGTAAGGTCAAAAAGATTTTTGAAAAAAATAGAAGCAGAATTCATCATGTATTTTAAGCAAATATGATTCAAACCATGTAACATGCTGACACAGCACATTTTATCTCACTCAGATCCTCTCTAAATATTTTTTTTTTTAAGTGCTGCATGAGTATGATATTTAATTATCCCTCTTAGGTCCCACCCTCAAATTTTGTAAATATTGAATAAAAACAATTTTTGACATTTTATCAGTCAGAAGGCCATAACTTGAAATGACTAACTTTTTTGACTTCAGTCTGCTAACACTTCTGACAAGTTTTCGGATAACCAAAACTCGGATTCTCTTCACTTCTTTTCTCATCTTCACAACCTTTGAAGAATAAAGCCAAAGTTTGAAAGGTTATTAATTCAAAAAGAAACATACTTTATTTTGAGTCTTAATATTATAGGCAAAGTCTACCACTTTATCCAAATTTTTGGTTAACTATATTTCTAGTTGGATGAAATCAAACATTTTCCACTAAGAGTGAATAAAGGAATACATCAACATTTTAAAATGTGTCTGAGGACTCAAGAGAAAGAAGTTATCTTACAAAAAAGTCACAGCATTCCCAATGATTAGTATTTTAATATTACTAGGGGCCCAGTGCACAAATTCGTGCACCTTGCAAGGAACTGTGGGCTGCGAGGCTGCAGTATGCATAGGAGCCCATCCTCGGCCTGTGTGCCGGCAGCACTGCTCCCACCGCCCCTCAGGAGCAGGGGGACCGGTGGAGAAGCCCTTGGGGAGAACAGGGCCGGCAGCCGCCACTCACAGCCACTGATGGTGCCGAGTGATTGGGACTGGTGCACCGGCACTGGTAGCAGGTGGGAGTGGCGGCTCTGGCACCGGCTGCAGGTGTGAGTGGGGCGGGCGCTGGTAGTGGGTGCGAGCGGTGGCTCTGGCGGCTGCTTGCCCCAATCTCGCCTCAGAAGCAGGGGGAGGTGGAGAAGCCCTGAGGGGCGATCAGGGCCGGCAGCCGCCGCTTGCACCAGCTGACAGTGCCAAGCTATCAGGGCCAGTGCCGGGCGCCAGCAGTAGGTGTGAGCAGTGGCTCCGGCGCCAGCAGTGGGTGCAAGCGGGCAGGTGCTGGCCCTGGGCAGGACTGCAGCATTCACAGGAGCAAAGGATTTTCAGTAACCACCAGAGGCTCGCCCGGATAACAGCGACCAGCACCCTGCCTTGGTCTAGTGCTCCCACTCACCTGCTCCACCATCCCACCACGGCCGACACCCACAATGTTCCACGCATGTCCCCTGGTGGTCAGCGCACGTCACAGCGACCGGTTCGGTTGTTCTGGTTCCACCGTTTGGTCTATTTGCATATTAGCCTTTTATTATATAAGATACTTATTATAGCTTGTTGGGCTTGGAACATAATAAACTGAGTTTTCTGAGATCAGAGATCATCATATCAATCTTTGTATCCTTGTGGCTTAAAGTAGAGCTTCAACCATCATGATGGAAATTTAATTTATTGAATGAGTGTGTTAACAAAAGCAAATGCATGAAAGTGATCATATTTACTTACTTATTACCCCTATTTATTTGAAGCATAACTTTAAAAGAATTGGCAAAAACACAAGGGCACATTGTGTGTGCTCACACACATACACAGCACATGCTTTAATCATCCCATTAAAGAACAATACTGAATTCCAAGAACAAAAAAACAAAAACAAAAAAAATTGTATTGGCCAAGAGATGGGAATATTCTAATGATAAAGAACTACATGTTATAACAGTACTTAGTACAATGGGATGCTATCATTTTGAATTTATGTTTGTCTGTTATTAGGAGCCATACATCTTGTAATTCCTCCTGTATTGTCTTTCTTCCCCTCCTCCTCGTTAGGAACTTCATAAAATTCATTTCAGATATCATCTTTCCCATAAACTTTCAATGACTTCTTCAGTTAGAGAAAACCACTCCATCCTTGGGGTTCCAAATATACTTTGTAGGTAGATTCTATTTCACCATACTGTCATTAATCACTGTGGCTGTTTTTAGTGTTTTGTTTTGTTCTGTTTGTTTTTCCTATAGTTTTTGAGCTCCTAGAAGACAGGGAATTTGCAATATTTACATAGTAATTTCTGTGTCTTTCAAGAGTACCTGGCATATACAATCCTACGAATTCCCTTGACAAAATAGCAATATCAAGGCTCTTGCATTTGGCTGTAATAGCTTCTCTTACCTTTCATGAATATCATTCACGCTCTGTATTACATTGAAGATACTGACAACCAACTTATAATTTCTCTCCACCCTAAGTTTTGACATCATTCTTAGTGACAGAAATGCCCACTTAATAACTCAACCGATATATCCTCATTTCATGACGTGTGTCCTGGTTTTGCTTTACACGTTCATTATCTAATTAAACTTACAGTGTGCAGGAAAAACATGTTCATGCCTAACTTATAACGTGCGGCTGAAACAAAAAGATGTATCTAATAAGGCGTGCAAGAATCTTCACATGTACTAGATAAATCAAAATTCAGAGCAAAACCTAGTGATTCAAGTGATGCTTTCAAGAAAGCTCTCTCACCTCCACTGGGACAAAAAAGACTAAGGTCCTTACTGTGGGAAACTGTTTATTGCCTTCACTATCTGATAAGCATAGACAGAGAACTTCCCGAAACCCACCGAAGGCTGGGTGCCTTTGAAGCCCTAGCAAAGCTTGGAGCTAGGCGCCACCTCTGTTTGTCCAGACAGTGGTAGCTGAAACTACTCCCCCATTTATTATTATGTAAATCCTTGCTGATGGGCTAGTCTGCTTGTTACTAGGGGGTCACCTGCCTAAGGGCTATGCTATGGGTGCATCCCAGATGAATAAAAGCTTGGTGAGGCCCGAGCACAGGGAGAAGTCCTTCGGGACTTGCCGCCTGGTCCCCCAATATTGCAAAATTATCTCGTGTCTTTTTCTCTCATTTGCTGTGCGGCTCCTCTTTCAGATACCGAACCCTACTCCACGCAGAACGTGGAGGGAGTCTTACTCGACACTTATCACTTATAACCATTCTATTTCTAAAATGATTAGTTGAAATATTCCACAAGATTACAGTTTTTTAAAAATATATTTTTATTGACTTCAGAGAGAAAGGGAGGAGGGTGTGATAGAAACATCAATGACGAGAGAGAATCATTGATCGGCTGCCTCCTGCACGCCCCACATGCCCCACACTGGGGATTGAGCCCACAACCCAGGCATGTGCCCTTGACCAGAATCGAACCTGGGACCCCGCAGTCCACAGGCTGACGCTCTATCCACTGAGCCAAACCACCTAGTGCAAGATTACAATTTTTATCTGCTTGCTTATTCAACTCCACCCACCACAATCATCTCTGACTTCACTGGATCAGCAATTCACTTACCCCTGTACTTTCTCTCAAACAGTTAGTCCTCTGCTTTTGATTTTCCTCCTTTAGGTACATGATCAACATTGTACCTCCAATTTGATCAACATGATCAACATGTACCTCCAATTTAGGTACATGATCAACATTTGCCAATACCTTAAATTCCCCTATGGTTAGCAATCCCTTTAGTAATCTTGAATAAAAAGAACATTCTGAGTTCTTTATCACAGCATCCCAATAGCCAGGAAATACTTAATACATTCTATCTACTATAAACTCACCATAATTAACCTCAAACAGGCTTTTACACTTCCTAGCAATCCTACGTATTTTTTTTTGGTCAATTCACTCTACAGTAACTATTTTAAACCTGTCTGCTTTCCTAAAATATCTAACATTCCTTTTCATCTCTCTTTTAATTTCATTGAGAAAATAAACATTAGATGGGAATTATCACCTTACTATTACCATTAATACAAATTTATTTGCTTCATTCACCCTATTCTATTAATAAAGTTGTATTATCCTATATAATAAAAGGCTAATATGCAAATCGACCAAATGGTGGAAGGACCGGTTGCTATGATGCAGACTGACCACCAGGGGGCAGATGCTCAATGCAGGAGCTGCCCCCTGGTGGTCAGTATGCTACCACAGGGGGAGCACAGCTCAGCCAGAAGCCGGACTCACAGCTGGTGAGCGCAGAGGTGGTGGCGGGAGCCCTCCCACCCCCAGGTGCACAAATTTTATGGACTGGGCCTCTAGTAAGAAATAATCGTACACATATCTCATGTTAATCTTTTAACTGTTTTGAATCTCATCCTTTCTGCAATCCTAGAACCCTCACTATACATTATTCCTTTCTAGCATTGTCAATCTCTGGATTATTCCCATTGATTTTTATCATGTGTGAGTCATTTTCATTAAAAATAAGACAAACAAAACACCCTCACTACAAAGTTCACGAGGAGCACCCTCTGTCTTCAACTGCCTCAGAGCCAAGCTTTGAGAGATGTTCAAAGTCATTATCATCATTTTCATGCCACATAATTCCAGTTTGTGGTGTCTAAGACACCAATGATTTCTAAATGACCCTGAATACAACAGGAAATTTTCAGACTTCATTTTACTTGAAATCTCAAAAGCATCTAACACTGTTCACCACTTCCTCCTTCTTGAAACACTTTTCCAAGTGTTTACATGACCCATGACAGAATACTCCCCTGGTTTTCCTTCTGCCCCTCTAGCCTCTCCATTTTGGTGTTCTTTGAAGGCTCATCCACCATTTCGTCATGAAGTGTTCCAAGTTCAAAGGTCAGTCCTAAGCCAGCTGTACTTTTCACCATCCATTTTTGGCCCTAAGTGATCTTATTGTGTGAATATTTTTTTTTCAATTTGCCACCTAAACAAAGATGACTCAGAAATTTATACCTTCAACTGAGATATATCTTTCAGCTCCAGACCCAAGTGTGCAACTGCCTACTCAACAGCTCCTTGGAGTAGCTTAAAATCACTTCCACCTCACACTGGAACCCATGTTCTTCATCCCCATCTGGATCCCTTTTTCGGTGTTTCATGTTTCAAGGAATAGAACAATCTTTTCGTTATAAACCTAGGGCTCACTATAGATAGCTCTCACTTCTAAATCTCTCACAATAAATCTATTACCAAGTCCTGTTAATTTTATCTCCTAATTATCTCTCAAATTGTACCACTTTTTCTATCTTGACCTCACCTAGCTATCCCGGTTGAGTTTGGTAACTCGTTTCCCCACTCTTGCCCCTCTCCAGTTTCCAAAACTCAGTCAGAATACATTATTAGCCCTAGCTGGCTTGGCTCAGTGGATGGAGCGTCAGCCTGCGGACTGAAGGGTCCCAGGTTCGATTCTGGCCAGGGGCACATGCCTGGGTTGCGGGCTCGATCTCCAGTGGGGTGCGTGCAGGAGGCAGCCGATCAGTGATTCTCTCTCA